CAATTATATACTTATAATTTTATACTTATAAAACTTTAACAAAACCTGCAGGTGTGTGATTGAATGTGGTGAATTTTTGCTTAAAACATTGTTTTTTATCAAGTGAAGTTATACACTGCAGTGCTCCACATGTGGAGCATCCAGACATTACTCAAGTAAGAGTAGCAATACTTTCTAATAAAAATACTCAAGTAAGGACAAAGTTTGGCTTATGTACTTTTTTAATATGTAAAATTAATAATTTATTATAAACAAAATTGTGAGTGAAATTAAAGTTTCTCTATTTGAATCAGGGCACCATCCATTATCTCTGGAATCATAAGACAAACTCAGTTTCTCGTGAAGGAATAATCTCTGAACTCTTTCCACAACAAGGAATGATCACTAGAACGTCTGAGAATTTATAAACATTCTAACTTTACAGCTGAATTATCCTGTACATAACCTTTCTCTAATTACCGAGATGCAATCTAGCTACTGTTGGAAAAGGCAAAAGGAATACATATACTTCAAATCAGATGAATGAATGATGTCCAGACTCAGGTGAGTCCGCCACTTTGGGACAGAGTCTTAAAACTCAACCATGTGCTCAGACCTAGCCAGAAGCTAACCTTAAGCTAGATTTAAGCTAGCCTTATACTAGCCTTAAGTTAACCTTAACCTAACCTTAAACAAGTCTTAAGCTAGCCTTAACTTAACCTTAAACTATCCTTAAGCTAGCCAGAAGCTAACCTTAAGCTAACCCTAAGCTAGACTTATGTTAACCTTAACCTTAACCTTATGTTAACCTTAAGTTAACCTTAAGCTAACCTTAAGCTTAAGTTAACCTTAAGTTAACCTTAAGCTAACCTTAAGCTTAAGTTAACCTTAAGATAACCTTAAGCTAGACTTATGTTAAACTTAAGTTAAACTTAAGCTAGCCATACCTTAAGCTAACCTGAAGCTAACTTTAAGCTGAACAAAAAGTTGTTACTTTGGCCCTGTACGACAGCAGAGCGAATGAGAGAGAAAGAAGGGCGAGGTTGCAGATATGAACGC